CCTTAAGGAACGACCACTCGTCTTGGACACTGAGTTCCTCTGCCCTCAAGGACCCCAGTGCCTCTCCCACTAATCTCCTCATCTCAATGAAGTTGGCCCTCCTGAAGTCTAGGGCTACCGCCTTGCTGCGGGCCCTTGACACCCTACTTGTGCAGCACTGCGAAAGTCCCACATGCTGGAGCTGGCTGCCTTCCTTGCTCCCTGCCATGCAGGTCCTGGGACTCTATGGGGAAGCAGTGGGTGGGGCTCCCCTCCACTTCTGGTGGAGTTGCAGGACCTAAGCAGCAAGGGGGCGGCCAGCTCCAGCATGCTGGGCTTTTCCAGTGCTGCACAAGTGCAAAGGGGTGCAAGTGCATCACGTGGAGCCCCTGCAATAGAGGTGGCCTGGCTGGGCTTCACTTCTCTCCGCTGCGTGCAGTGCTGGCCAGAGCCATGCACTGCCAGGCAGCAGTCCCTACACGGGGCATAAGTACCCACACCTGCTGGTGCTACTGCTGCTGCCGACAGAGGCTGCGCACCATTTGGAGGGAAGGATGTGAGGAATCCCCACATCTTGCCATGATCCCTCACACCCACACCCTGCCCACCCAAGCTCCATGCTCCCACTGGCCCCCTGGGCACGGGCTCTGGGCTGCAACCAGACCCAGCCTCATGCTTCCTGCCCCACTCCCACCCCCACTGCTTCTCTACCTGCTGCCTGGAGTGAATGAGGTGCTGTGGAAGCTGAGCAGGTCCAATGGCGATTGCAGCAGTGGCAGCAGCAGACCCACCTGGAAGCTGCATGCTGGCTGGGCCCAGGCCCTTCCACCCACAAGGGTGGGAGCAAAGCAAGATACGGTATCTAGTGTGGTGTCTAAATATGTGGGTGCCTCACTCCCACCCTCATGGGCAGAAGAGCTGGGCAGGTTACAGCTGGGTGGATGCCTCCAGGCTGGATGAAAGTGCCTGGCAGGCCGGATGCGGCCCCTGGGCTAGGTGAAGGCACTGGCCACTCTGCCCGATGGGGTGGGGAGATTTCATAGACATTAGGGCTGGAAGGGACCTTGGAAGATCATCGGGTCCAGCCCCCTGCCCCAGGGGCAGGAAGTCAGCTGGGGTCACAGGATCCCTACATTGTAAACGTCCAATTGACTCTTAAATGAGTCCAGACTAGGTGCTTGCACCACCTCTGGTGGCAGTCTGTTCCAGGCCTTGGGGACTCGGACTATAAAGAAGTCCTTTCTTATGTCCAGCCTGAAATGGTCTTGGAGAAGTTTGTGACTGTTTGACCTTGTCATCCCAATGGGGCGCTCTGGTGAACAGGCGTTCCCCCAGATCCTGATGTACACCCCTTATATACTTACAGGCATCCACCAGGTCCCCCCGAGCCTGTGCTTTTTCAGGCTGAAGAGTCCCATAGCTCTCAGCCTCTCACCATAAGGCCTGTTTTCTTGCCTTCCGATCATGCATGTGGCTCTCCTTTGGACTCTCTCAAGCTTCTCCACATCCTTTTTAAATTGTGGAGCCCAGAATTGGATACAGTACTCCAGCTGTGGCCTCATCAAGGCCGAGTACAGCGGGAGGATGACATCCTGGGATTTACTAGAGAAGCATCTATGGATGCAAGCCAGAGTTTTGCTTGGTTTTGGGCTGCAACATCACATTGGTGGCTCATACTCATCTTGTGATCAATCATGACCCCAAAGTCGCTTTCAGCCATGGTGCTAGCAAGCGTAGCACTGCTGAGCCTATAAGCAGGCTGCTGGTTTTTCTTCCCAAGGTGGAGTACCTTGCATTTGTTGGTGTTGAAGGCCATCAGGTTTTCATCTGCCCATTTTCCGAGCCTGTCAAGGTCAGTTTGGATCACCATCCTGTCCTCAGGTGTGGACACTTTACCTCAAAGTTTGGTGTCATCAGTGAACTTGGCCAGTCCGCTTCTGACACCAATGTCCACATCATTAATGAAGATGTTGAAAAGAATAGGCCCAAGGACGGAGCCTTGGGGGACTGCACTGGTCACAGTGCACCACAATGATTGACTTCCGTCAACTACCACTCTCTGGGTCCAACCTCAAAGCCAATGCCCCAGCCAGTGGACTGTGATGTAGCTCAGGCCTCAATTGGCCAGTTTTTCTATAACACAATCATGGGATACCAAACTGAAAGCTTTTTTAAAGTCGAGCTATATGACATCAATTTCTTCTCCCTTATTCAGGTGATATGTGACCTGGTCGCAGAAAGAGATGAGATTCGTCAGGCAACTCCTACCCGCAACAAACCTGTGCTGGCTATCCCTCAGGAAACTGCCTTCAGCCAGTTTGTCAAGAATGGTCTCTTTGATGATTTTCTCCAAGATCTTCCCCGGGATAGAGGTCAGGCTGATGGGCCTGTAGTTCCCTGGATCTACTTTCCTCCCATTCTTGAAGCCAGGCACCACATTGGCCTTCTTCCAATCTTTGGGCACTTTGCCTGAATGCCATGAGTTCTCAGAGATCTCTGCCAGTGGCAGAGCTATGATGCTTGCCAGCTCCTTAAGTACCCTGGGGTCTAAGCTGTCTGGGCCAGCTGACCTGAAGGTGTCCAGCCTCTCCTCTAGTGCCAGGGATGGGAAGTCAGCCCAGCTGAATTCCCAGTCAGTTAGATCACTGGTTTTCAACCTGTGGTCCATGGACACCTGGGGGCCCACAGACTTATATTTTTGGGGTCTGTGAAAGATGACTATGATTAATCAAAATTATGTGAATACCCACACTTACAATTCAAATGAGTCTGCAACTCCATTCAAAATTTTCGAAGGGGTCCACACCTCCATTTGAAATTTTTTAGGGGTCCGCAAATGAAAGAAGGTTGAAAACCACTGAGTTAGATATGCAAGAAATTTTGAAAATCCAACCAGGTACCCACCTCTACTTTTGGGTGCTTACATAACCTTTACATATTTGGCCCCTCAGTTTCCTCTTAAGTGATTTAAGAGCTAATCCTATTGATATCCAATGTGATTTTTAAGTAAATACATCACTTTTAAAAATGGGACTTAGGGACTTAATGGGTCGACTTAATGGGTCTACTTAATTCCATTGTTGTCAATATGATGTACTGAAAGATAAACATACTGTACACCAAAGCGCTTTGCTGGACTGGAGCCTGAAAACATACAGGACACAGACAGAAATTACATTTGTTGTGCGACTGGCCCCTTGAAAGTATCTAAAGCTGTGCCCACACAGAAGAGCACAGCTGCAGAACACTCTAATCGTGTGACAAATTAACTCTCACTGTATGAGGTTAAAACGAAAGATTCTCCAAAGCAGAGAGCCTTTATTAATTTCTGTGTGCTCCAGCCTGGCCCCAGCTGATGTCTCTGGATAGGACTGAGAGAAGGCAGGGGAGGGAGGTCCCTTTTGGGGTTCTCTCACTCCTGCTGGAGGGGGTGTGGATTGAAGCCCTTCACCTTGTGCAGGCTCCAATTTACTCACTCCCCACTCCAGCGGGGCTGAGAAAACCCCAGAATGGACCTCCCTCCCCTGCCTCTTCTCCCCTGTCCCAGTCAGAGACAGCAACAGAGCTGCAAGAGGGGAGGCAGAGCTAGGGGGAGAGGCTGCACAGATGAAGCCTCTTCCCCTAGCTTGGCTCCATATTGGAGCCAATCCTCCATCCTCCTCACCCAACAGATAACGTCTGTTGAGTCAGGAAGGTCAGTCTAACTCATGGCACTTTCTATGAATCACCATGAGTTAGACTTGGGAGGTGCACTTCTGTCTGCACCCACAGACTACAAGGCAAGAGGACAGCATTTAACATACTTTATGCCATCTTGTACCACAGCCTTTTTAAATCTCTTTTCCCAATCCAGAGATCATGCCCTTCACCCTCAGATGACAGTTCAGTAAGTGACAATCTCAGCATCTCAGATGATTAACTTCTATGCTAGAATATATCTGGGTGGCTCGATTTCCCTGCAGTCATAGACATGTTATCACTAAAACTCTATTCTTTTCTTATAAATAGACAGAGACTGAAATTTATAGAGCAGAACAGCATCCTTGAATATTGTATGCAAAGAATAGAACAGGGAGATAGACAAAAGAGGAAGAGGTGTGTCTTGACTGTATGCCCATACTGTGTGCTCTGATTGTTGCTGCACTTTTCAGCCTACCAGGCTTTTTAAGAGTTTTAATACATTCTGATTACAGTATAATTTAACAGCTCTTACCTGAATACAAAGTCAGAATTATCAATTTCAGTGCCACAGCTGGAGTTTTTCAGAATGCCCCCATTTCCAACCACTGCACAGTGCTTGAAGGGGTAGCTTAGAAAGGGAGGGGACTGCAAGGATATAAAAAGGCATAAGTTTGGTTAGTTCCTCTCCCCCAACACCCCAGTTCCAGTGAGAAAGTTTGTTCATGCTGGCTAGGTTCAGTAAGTTAGAGGAAGTAAACAGAATGCAGCAAACCAGTCTGCCAGAAGCAGTCCTGGCTAGAGAGCCCTGAATAAATAAGGAATGGAGGAGGAGCTGCTATTTTTGCTTTCAGTGGTTTGGGGAAGTAATGTTGCATTATTAGAACTGAACAAAAATATGCATTACTCTTTCTTTTCCTTTCCTAAAAAGGTATATTCAGTGTTGTATCATATTAAACAGATAGTATACCTGTGTTCCTGAGCAAATTAATAGGACCACAGCAGAGGTTTCCAAAACACTTTCAAGTCACGACCCCAGTAAATTCTGTGTGATCCCATATGCACACTTAGCATTAGTTGTGTGCCTGCTTTTAACAAAGAATGGGGATTTACTATACCTCAGCATCTCCACAGTAACTCTCCCTGTGCCCATTTTTTTCCTGTGGTAAGCTAAATTGGGGCAGCTTAACGCAAATAAAATATGGTTAAGTTGCCCTGGATTTCATTTACTGCATGGTACTTGGGGCAAATAGAAAGTTGCCATGGGGCAACTGATACATAGTAAAACCCAGACCCTGCTAATTAAGACCATGTGAAATAATTAAAAGTTTGGGAGACTTTAGGGTTCTGTGAGGCCTGCAACCCCAATCGGTAATTCCTCTAAATTCTCTTCTCAGACTGGCCACTTATTCTGAGACAGAATAAGAGAGATGGAGCAGTGAGTACTCTATGGGAAAATAAGGAGGAGAGGGAAACTGGCAAACATTAATTGCCACAAAATTTTCTCTTAAGATAAATAACAAAAGGGTTTTATTTGGAGAAAAACTGCACCTTTTTGATCCTGGAAAGAATTTGACTTTGGTGTGTTTTAGTACAGAAACACATTGTATTCTAATGACAGGGCACTTTGGCAAGACTACCCTGGTTGCCATAGAAAGTACATATACATATAAGCAGATATCATACATATAATTCTCCTTTAACTTAGTTCAGTTTTATACCACTGTAACTCCCAATTGCTCCGAACTCAAAGCAGTGTGAGATGAAAATCAGACCAATAGTACTAGGGCAGGGGCAGGCAATTATTTCAGGCAGAGGGCTGCTTACTGAGTTTCGGCAAGGCATCGAGGGCTGTATGACAGGCACCCAGGGGCAGATAAAAATTAACTTTCTAAATTTTTTAGGGGACCCGCAGACCAGATAGAATGGCCTGGTGGGCCGCATCTGGCCCGCGGGCTGCATTTTGCCCACCCCTGTACTAGAGCATACGTAAGTCATAGAAGTTGTGAGGGGTGTCAAAAGGTATCTCTTGTCAGGTACACATTGGGGTAGGGGTGCTCAACCTTTTTGGGTGGGCAGCTGGATGGGAAGTGACCAGGCCATCCACAGGCCAGATCCAGTAGGAGGTTCCAATCCCACATGGGGTGACTGCAGCAGGGCACAATCCAGCTGTGTGGAAGGGTCAGGGGCAGACCAGCTCTAACCTGGCCCTATGGAGTGGAGGGAGAGGACATTTCCCCTGGGGGGAAAAGGGGAGTGGCTCAGCCGCAACCCAGCCCCACAGGGGGGAGGACGCATTGCCCAGCCCCACAGGACATAGTGGGTGTGGCCCAGCCCACACCTAGTCCCACAGAGGGCAGGGGACTTAACCTGGCCCCATGGGGGAGAAAAGGGCATGGCTTAGCCCCAACCTGGCCCCACAGGGAAAGGGGGCATGGCCCAACCCCATTCAGCCTGGGGTGGGGAACATGGCCTGGCCTCATCCAGCCACAAGAGTATGGGGATTGGGGTTTGCATATTTGGCAGTAGGGCTGGGTGTCCATATTAATGGCCACCACTCCCCTGCCACTGAATTTCCCAAACCATGGAGAGCCCCAAGGGTCAGATGCCTATGGCTGGGGGCTGCAAAGATTTCAAATTTTTCTCCTAGAGCAAAAATGCCTATTCCAGGAGAAAAATAACCTGGGAAGAATGAGGGTTAAATCACTCCTGGGAGAACAAATGTCTGTACAATTTACTGTTTGGAGAGAAGCTACAACAGTCTTTAGCATCCCAGAGTGTTTTGCTCTCCCTCCCTCCCCAGTCCTGGAGACAGTATGTTGCTTGGTCTGGACTCTACTATTCCTGCCAAACAGAGAGCAGAATATGCCTCCTTCAAAAATCCCACACTGTGTAGCAGGGAGACACAGACTGACTCTAAGCAGTTTGGGTCAGCCAATCAGGGCTGCTCTGTGCATTGCTACTATCTGTTGACAGGAAGACTGAGGGAGCCTGCAGAACATGCTGAGATGTGTTTACAGGGGTCCCCTGATGTGTAGCATCAGCACTGCATGCTCTCTGCACTTCAGGGATTTGGAATTCAAATGTCTGTTCAGGTATATCTGGGTATATTTTCTACCAGGAACAAACCCAGGAGAATTCTGCCAGATCATTTGAAAATGTGTATGCAGCAGAAGTGAGGTACACATATAATTCAAAGATTAGTGTCCCCCATTCTGATCCAAAACTCCAGAGGTTGTGAATCTGTTACAGATTCACTTACAAAGCCTGACTCTACTTCAACTGTGGCAGGGCACTTGACATGCCTGCCACTTTAAAAGGTCAGGCAGTCTGCAGAGCCACTGGCAGGTGGGGTCAGGACTAATTAGAGTCGGCTGACCCAGGGACTGGCAGGTGAGGCTAGGCCTGATGAAGGGAGTCAATGGATTCTAAGGCAGACATCTGACTGGAGGAGGGCTAGGCTTAGATAGGGTTGCAGGTTCAGCTGCGTCCAAGGGCTGGAAAGAAGCTGGGAAAGTGAAGATTTAACAGGGTCTAAGATAAGGGACCAATATAGAAGCTAACAACTGGGAGAGGGGCTGAGAGAGAGACCAAGGGGCAGATAGCCCCGTGACTGACTGCATGAGACTGAGGAGTCTGAGGGCCCAGAGGAAAGCCCAAGGGGTCTGGCAACCTGAGTGGGGCTGAGAGAGACCAAGGGGTTGGAAGGCCCAGAGAGAAGCTATATCAGCAACAGACGATCTGCAAGGATGCCATCTGTGAGGCATGGGACATGGTGTAGGGAAGGTATGGAGAGATGTGATTGGCCCACAAGGCCAGGACCACAAGTTGGGTGGTCATTATAATAATATCAGGGCAGCCTCCTGCAATATATATGCCAATTAACATCAAGGCATGGTGGGTGAGAGCAAGGTGGACTGCCCTTAGAACAGGGTATTACAAAAAATTTTCTTGGGTGCCCTGTTACACAAACCCATAAAGGTTAGTATTTTCAGTTGTGGAAGGTGTTAGTTCAAATCTGGCAGTCCTCTGAGAGAATATGCATAACAATAGCCATAAGCCCACATCAGAGTGACCAGGATTGGGGTGGACAATATGAAATAGTTATTGAAGATTAAAATATTTCATAAGCATTTGAAAATAGGAATCAGAAGAACAATGTAATAGTGAAGAGTAGGGTTCAGTCCATGAGCTTGAACTCTTGGGGCACGTCTATATGAGATGCTAACTATGCAGTAGCCTAATAAAACTGTGCAGTAGCACATCCTAGTACAAACAGTGCTAATACACTGCTGTGAAGTACTATTAGATTATTGTGCATTAGTGCCACTCAAAAGGGATTCACCAGCACTACTGTACAGTAACTCCAGTTACTGTGCATTTATTTAGTACTTGATTATATAAATACTAAAATAAATGCACAGTAACCACGGCACACTAATGAACATGCAAATGTGCCCTTGGAGTAGAAAATATATTTGGTTCCTGCAAGAGGAAGCAACTTGCTGGGCTGCTCGCTAGTGACCCTGTGGCTAAGCTGAGCAGTGCTGATGAGCATTAAAGAGAGTCCCACCAAACTCTCTCCTTTGTGTAAGGCAGTTATCAAGAAGCAAGTCCCTGATAAGGGAATAAAGAATAGCGTAGAAAGGGGGGATCCCCCTAAGAGACCCAAAACAAACATTGTATCTCCATTGTTATAAAAACAAAAATGTCATAGGACCTGTTCTTACCGCAGGCAGCATCCTAAAAATGTCTTCTGTGATATGGATAACCTTTTTATGGTCCACTTCATAACTCAAGTTACTTCCCAGTGGGGTATTGTTTTGAGAAGCAATGAAGTTGTGAGCAGCGTCACAGCAGGAAGCGAGTTCTGACCTGCAAAAGACCAGCATAGCTAATGAATCAGAAAGAGGTGGCACAGAACTAGAAAATAAAGTCCATTTCTCATTAATTTAGTCATCAGTAAAGCTGCATGAACCTTTCAGAATGAAGTTTTCCTTGGCTTGCTTTGTAATGGGCCCAGACAGCTGTTTGTCAAAAAGTTGGCAAGATTTTTGATAAGCTCAGGAACCTTTTCTGTTTTTCTATACCCAGCTCTTCCTCAGGAAAAGGTCAATAATTACCCTTTTTGTTGTTATCAGTTATTAATATTATGAAGAACTGAAAGACCCCAACTGTGACCCTATTCCAGTTGGCTCTGTGAAAAAACTACATGTCTATACCTGCCCCGAAGAGTGAATATTCAGATTTTAGCAAAGGTATAATGGGCAAGTATAGCAAACTGAAGGGGTATGAGGGAAGGACAAGGAGGGACCAGTGACAGACCCAAGCCCTGGAGCAGCTGCCTTCCCAGCTGAGCACCCTGCCAGCACTGGTGAGGCCAGTCTCTATGGAAACCCTGGCACTGTGTTGTCAAGGCACTGCTACTCCTGGGGTCTCCATGGAAACTGGCTTCAGCAACGCAGGCAGGGGCTGCTGGGAAATGGAGTCTGCCATGGGCCAGACTTTGCCTGCCCCTGCTTTAGATGGTTTTGAGTCAACTGATTAATAATTCACTGTAGCAACTGTTCAGAAAACTACTGCTGTGCCCGACTTTCACAGACTTTAGATAAATTATAGGAAAAACAACTTAGAAATAAAGAAGATAGGTGTCTCCTGTGTGATGGAAGTAGAAATAGCCTGGTTCTAACACAGGACCATCAGATGGGCAAGACAGTCTGCTCAAGTCCCACTTACACGGCCTCTAGGAAGATTGATTCTTTGCCATCCATCTCACGTTACTTTCTAATGACTATATATCTAAATGCTACATACTATTGTTTTGAGAAATTGTGACATTGTGAACAGCAGCACTAGGACTGGAATCTGCTACTGGTCTAGCTACTCTGTGCCTCGGTCTGTGGGCTGATATATCCCACAATGCACTGGGGAGCTGTTCATCTCTACCATCAGCAAGTATGGACTAACACTTTCACGGTTGAAGTGATTTATGGCCAGCTTTGATATCCATGAACTGACAGTCCTCTCCTATATCAGCTCAGACCCACCAGAGCTAATTAAGTATTAATTGTGTAGCAAGGAAAAAGCTAAACAGTGCTAACAATGCTGCTTGGAAATTATAAAAATACAAAGCGGCAGAGGATAGAGACTTGTTCATTTCATCACACAGGAATATAATTTGGAAGTACACTTTTTTTTTTAATTCTACGCAGCGAGTAAAGAATAGCTGTTGTATTACATACACATTTAATGAATAGAGGTAAGAATTCCAAGCCACTGGAAAATGTTAATTAAACAATACAGACAAACTGTGCCCTAAATTAAATTGATTTTAACAGAATAGGGTGGAGGCAAGGGAGGGTGCCAGTTGTCCAGCCAACACTATCAGTGAGGTAAACCAAGCCATTGCTCCACTAAAAATACATTCTTTTTTCCTGTTATAGTGAGGGTAGATTTTACCAGCTGAACAACACACAGAAGATAGAGATAAAGATGCAGATGCACTGTTCTCTTCCTGCTTGCAGAGGGTAGGACATGTGGCTAAGTTTAAATTACAGTGAAACGGATTTAGATTAAATGTCAGAAAAAAACTTCTGACTGTAAAACACTAGGACAATGGAACAAGGTAAGCTGTGAAATCTCCTTCACTGGAGATTTTCAAGAAGTGGCTGGACAGTTATTTATCTGGGATGGTTTAGTAAAAAGGAACTCTGAATTTGTGCAGGGGTTTACACTAAGCGACTCTCGAGAGTCTTGCCAATCCTATAAGCAGCAGCAGATCCCAGGAGGATGGCAGAGAGCTTGCTTTGTGCTTATACCATTCGTCACTTCTCTTTCACGTTCCAGTGAGATCAGAGAAGCCTTGATTACTCTTGAACAGAGTTCCTGTGTGTGTGAAGGAGACTGGCTGCCAGACAATGGGTCTGAGGTAAATACATGAAGATGGGTTGTGCTGTGTAAGCATGTGTGAGGCATAGGTGGAGGGAGAAAATATTAATGGGGGGCTGACAGCGTGCATCTGTGGAAGGGAAGGAGCAGCAGATGGGGGGTTAGATTGAGGCCCCCATAATGAGGGAGGCAGTGGGGCAGGGGCAGAGGCAGGGGCAGAAGCTGGAGTGAATGGGGCCTTGGGGTTGCGGAGGGTTGTGGGGCAATCAGAGCCCCAGGTGGCTTGTCCAGGAGCACAGGGGGCTCCCGCCACTCCTGTGTGGCTTGTCCAGGAGTGTGCAGCTTGTCCTGTGCGGAGGGTTGTGGGGCGATCAGAGCTCCTGCGTGGCTTGTTCAGGAGCACAGTGGGCTCCTGCACAGGCCCCCCAGATTTGTGTGTGGGGCAGAGGCAGGATGCTGCTGCAAGTTGGCTTTTGCACCCCACTGCCATTGCCTCAGGAGCTGTGTGGCCACCCCCATGTGCCTGCCACCCCCAGGCTGTGCTGGATCCCTTGCCTACCTGACAGCTGCAGGCACTTGAGGTCATGCAGTTCCCACAGCAGTGGCGAAGGAAGTGGGGTGCAAAGACAAGCCTGCAGTGGCATCCCACCTCCACTCTGCATACAAATTTGGGGGGCACGTGCCCACCCATGACTCTCCTGGGGTGCATGTGGTGGCAGGAGCCCCCTGCACCCCTGGACAAGCTGCCCAGGGCTTGGGTAGTCCCAAGACCCATCCCACCGCTCTGTTCACCCCAGTCCCTGCCTCTGCCTCACTCTCTTCCTCACTGTGGGGGTCTCGATCTGCCACCCTGACTTCCCCTTCACAGACTGAGACTAGCCTGCTGTGCTGGGAATTGATCTGGGCTGCGAGTGTCTGAGTCTCTGCTCACCCCTTCCCCTCTGCTGCAGCTGCCCAGAGCCCACACCCGGGCTGCCCTGCAGCCCTACCTGCTGCCCCATATTTGGGGGGGGCTACACCCCATTAGCCCTGATCTTCCACTGCCTATGGTGTGAAGTGAAGGTAAGAATGGTTATTGAAGTGTTGGTTTGAAAAAGTTACTGGGAAAGACTGGGTTATGAGTGAAGAGATACTGGTATGTGATGGGATTGTTCTATACATAGAACATATAAATAAATAATAAGCATGGCTAGAGTGGGGAGATAATATGACAAGTCAAGACATGGAATAAGAACCCTAAATGAGAAAGCTTGCAGGGGGATTCAGATGTGTTTGACTCAGCCCCAGTTGCAGTCAAACAGTTTGGTTTCTTTTACTTTTCTAAATTGAACTCATTTGTCTTAAACCGAAGTGCTATAGTGATGTTACAAGAAAAAGAAAATGTAGGCATCACACAGAGCATCATGTATATATCTCAGAAAATGCACAATTCTGAATTTACAGAAACAAATTTATAAAACACCCTTACCATTCTGCAAAATTAGATATTTGTAAGAACTTTGGAACATTAGTGTAGGTTAGAATATCAGAATATTCTTTCCCAGCTAAGTAAAACAGAAATGCATGATTGCTACAAGGATCTGAAAACCAAGCTGATGAAAAGCCTTTGTGATAGATAACACTCATTAACAGAGATGATGCACTTTTCCTTCTTATTACTCATTCCACAAGAATGAGTACTTCAATAAAAGCAGAAACAGTCCAGTTGAAAAGCAGATATCAGAGTTAATAAGAGTAGTTTTAATTAACATTATGATTATGCTAAGACAGTTAAACATAAGCAGGAAAAACAAAGTTAATTCAAAGACCCACTGAGATCAGAGGAAATTCTCAAGAATATTTTTAATAGATCTATAACGGGGTGGGCAAAATGCGGCCCCGGGGCCGGATGCGGCCCACCAAGCCATTCTATCGGCCTGCGGGGCCCCTAAAATATTTAGAAAATTAACATTTATCTGCCCTGGGCTGCTTGTCATGTGGCTCTTGATGGCTTGTCAAAACTCAGTAAGCAGCCCTCTGCCCAAAATAATTGCCCGCCCCAATCTATACTATATTGTAGTTTTATTTAATTTCCTCCTCCTTGGATCAGTTACTAAGACCTTAATCCTGCAATGGGATCTACCAAAACAGAAATGAAGGCCCTTACAGACTCCTAGTGTTTTCACACAGACTTGGAGGCACTCAAATCTTTGGCAGATTAGGATCATGGTTTCTCAATGTTAATGGAAACTTTGGAAAATATTTTTTCTAACTGCACAAGCTGAAGCCAATACAATAAGATTGCTTCCTCAGTCTTACCTGCTTTTAAAAAGCAATCTTACGAACCTTACTGCATGCGCTTAATTTTATTCACAAAAGTATTCTTGTTAATAGAAGGTACTGTAAACATTTGCATAATCTTGTATCGTTATGCATTTTTTTTGCACAGTAGTGTAGTGCCTAAGCATATTTCTAAGGGTGAGGACATACGGATAACATATCACAGTGTTAAAGGGCAAGGGGCTTTACTGTGCAACAGCTGCTGTACAGCAATTGCCTGAGTGCCACTCTTTACCCTCTGGTAAGCAGAAATTAATAGACAACAGCTCAGTCCTTAGGGAAGCTACTGTGGGCTAAATTGTGACAATTCAGCTTTCATCTTCCTCAGAATAAGAGCACGGCCAGAAGCAGTTACCATATAGCTGCTCATGTACAGGAAAGCCCCATTTCTGCATATCCCAATGTACGTCGTTCATGTACCCAAACCTCCAGTTTAAAATATTGATACTTTTGTAGTTATATTTCCCTCAAAACTACAATAATACTTTCTGAGGGGCAGAAGGTCCAGATTAGAAAGAATATTATTTTATATTTCTATTATATTACTGTTTATCCTTAAAATGATCACTTTTAATGCTGGGATTGTTACTTGCCCAACCAGGATAGCAAAGAATTCTGTGTGCGCGCTATTCAAATGTCTCGTTCAGAGCACTGGTGCAGACCAGGCA